AATTGCAGACCAACTCATAGTAACAACACAATATAAACATATGCGATGCAAAACAATGCAAATTGCAGTGATAATTGATAAATGGATTTAAAAACTTATTTAAAAGCATCACACATCTGTAAAAATAAAGTCAGAAAAGATTAGCTTTGGCATTGCTGAAGTTTTTGTACCCATCATACAAATCGGGTATGTTATAGAATAAATTTCTCTGACTGCCTTATTCTTTCTAACTTAAAATCTAGTCTTCCGATATATTAAAAGTTATGAATTACTATATACTATATGCGGGTTTTTGTTAGGTTGGTGATGTAATTCATTTATTTTCTTGATTAGCCTGGATTCACAAAAAAATCATTGAGACATCAGTTTCCATGTTAACGGACAAACTGATGACGGACGGACACATGTCGCAGATTGGATTCATCATGTTTTACTAATAAAAAATATATCTGGCTTACATGATCTGCGTTACTGACTTCTAGACAAATTTAATACACCATTTTCACAAGAGAGAGAGGGATATAAAATAGCCTAATATACATACAATAGACATGTGTGTCACATGTATTTACATATGTTTTTATTTGATATTAAAAAACAAAATATCTGTTAATTTAAAATGCTTTGTTTATTTTATATAGAATTTTGTGAGCTTTACTTGTTTAGTTTTCATTTTGCAGATAAATTAAAAAATAGTTCTATCAAAACCAGCAAAATATACACATTATATACATACATATATACATATATGCATACACATATACACATATGTATATATATATTCATTTTAATGTATATAGATTTCAGCTTAATACGAGTAAAAGAGCAAAAAACTATTTTATGGAATTAATGTCATATAAGAATGTATTATATGAAAGTCATATAAATCATTTTGTTTTGAGAAGAAATAATTTTTTTTTAATAATTTAAAATTTCTTGAGGCTATGTTGACTTATGTAAAAAAAACATATTTTTTTTACTTCTACACAAATGTTACGAGTTGTATACTTGATTTATATCAAGCAAAGACTTTACCTTGTGGTTCGCAAAAGAAGATTTCAACCATACTTAGTTGCTAAGCCTAACTTCAGTGAAGAGTCCAGTTGGAAATGAAACGTAATTTGGGAGCAGTCTTTCACAATACTTCCATTCAATTTGCGTTTCGCAGTATGAAATGATGTGCTCATATTCAGTGAAGATGGCTTATTGCTTTAGGACATGCCCGATTTTTTCAAACTAATACAAATCACATTTTAAAAAATCTTCCGATTTCAAAATATTATTTGCACTGCTGCGAGTTTTTGTCAAAATGCAGTGCACAGCAGATGTCATCGCAGATCCAACATTTCTAAAGGTCATTTCTATGGATTAGGCAACACAGAGCACTTCATCGAATATTGCCCAGATTTTGGACGAAATAGATTGAGTTTGTTATGTTATCTTTCTCTCTCTCTCTCTCTCTCGTGACTCTCTCCCATGACTCTTTCTCCTAATTGTCTAATTAAGTATCTAACATTACGATGGTTACTAGAATAATTAGATGCTATGTGCAATAATATGGCATGTTAAAAATATATGGGTAAACAGATTAATATCACATTTTTCATATAACTACTGATCAAGTTTCATTTACATGGTCACTTAGCGTATTTAACAGTTCTTCAAGATTTGGTGATGTAAAGAAATTAAAGCCAATTCTAAACATAACAAATGACTTTAATTTATTGCATATATTTATTACAAACTGTGGTTCAAAATCTTAGTTATGTGCTAAATGATTTCAACATTAAAACTAAAGAGATTCAATGACTACGTATATATTCAATTATGATTTCAAATTTCATATTCTATCTTGATACTAGATTAATTAATAAAACTTATTATCACTCGATTATATGTAGAGTTATATACAGTCTTTAACTAGTGCTTTAAAATAACAACTATTACTAGATTTTAGTCCAATTTTTCAATTCTATAAGAATTATGAGGTGTTTACCTTATTATGCATCTCATTAAATATCCTTTTATACTGTCAGTATATATAATCTGTTTATTGTAGACATCATACTAAAATAATGTTTTTATATTATATATTGTAACCTTATATATATATATATATATATTACGAACAACTTGTAAAAAATATGATTTAAGGTATTAATATTGTAATGTTATATATATATTTATATATATAATATATATATATATATATATAATAATATATATATATCAATTAATCCCATTCACATATATATATAATTTATTTGTTATTGTAAACATCGATTAAAAATCCAATAATGTCTAATCATATGTATACCCAACAGGTGAAAGAATTTATGCACGGGTGGTAACATTATGCACATGATGCTTTTGGGATCAAGTATCGATGCAACTATTGTACCGACTAATCTATACATTACAATATATATGGCACAAAGTAGTCGTAAAATTATTTTTGCTACCGCAACCATCCAAATAATTAAAATAATTAAATAAATATCGTATATATTAGTAAAAAAATTATATGTATAGATATATTTTACTATTCAGTTTGTAATAATTAATATAAAATTAATATTGTTCTTGTTTCAAGGAAGTAATTATATTTAAATTAATTTAAAATAGTTAAATAGAAACAAAAACATATTTGGATGGTTGCGAAATTATAGCTTAACTGTCGTTAATAACAAAAATAATTTTGAATTATTTAAAATTAAATATTCAACTATGATAACATGAACAGTGACAGCCACAGAATTATTGAATACGAAAACCGTACATTAAAATGCTTGATTCTCAATTAGCACTAAAAATGCATTTTCAAACGCAGTATACTCGTATACTTCCTACTGATCGGCTCCTGAAAATCAAATAACATCTAATGAGGTAGGTTATGGTAGGTTGAAAGCGAGTGCGTTGCTACAACTGTCAGCACTTTCACTCGAAGACATACATTGCCGATCGTGATGTCATCAAAGTTGCCTGTAAAAGGCGAGTTACACTTTCCTTTATTCAGTAGTGTGTTTATTTTAATTTGTATTAACAGATTTTACGAAGATTTTGTCCTATATCCCGCCCTAATTAATCTCATTCAACAATTCATCAGAGAAAAATAATTTCACACACTTCGATAAGTCAGAGGGCCCTATAAAATTTTATATATTTATCGTATTTAAAATTTTGTACCTGTTGCTAATACGCCGGCACGACATTTTGCTGTGGAATCCCAATTATTTTTTTAGGAACTTCTAGACGATGACAGTATAATTCTTCTAGCATCGATATGATGCATATATATATATATATATTAATAAATTAAATGTTTGTAAATTTTTCTTAACTTGATCTCTGTGGACGAATTGATGTTAATAACGCTTTTTTTCTATTTAAGTTTTTTCCTGACTACTTAATACATTCACGAGTTCAACGCGTTTCAATCAAACTGCAAACATATCAATCTTATATTTGTGGGCATCTATAACCTAAGATCTACCAAAATGAATAAGATAGTAAAGGAATTCCAAATCGGCGATTTAGTATTTGCGAAGATTCGAGGCTTTAACGCATGGCCAGCCAGAATAACCTGTAAGAGTAACAAAAAATACACTGTGTACTTTTTTGGAACAGGACAAATAGGAAATGTAACATCGAAATTCATATTCCAGTATGAGGAGCACAAACGCAAATACGCCACACCAAAATACCTAAAACGTCAGAGCTTCAAGAAAGCTTTTGATGAAATTGAGGTTGAGTTGCAAAAAATAAAGTCTGCTGCAGAAAAAGCTAGCAGCTCTGTTCCACAAAAAGGTATGAGAAGGTGTCAGTAATTAAAATGTGTAAATGATATATATATAAAAAATTAATTTATAATTGGTTAATTAACAAGTTTCAATAAAATCAATTAAAAATCGTTCTTAATAATATTAATAAATAATCAAAAAAATAATAATAAATAAAGTGATTGCTGTATATAGTACAAGTATATATAGTACATGATTGTTGAAATATAGATACACGTGTATATAAATGTGCATGCATACGTTACTTTGTGAATATCTGTAATTATAAATATTCATACATATACAAATAGTTTGATATATGTACATATCTGTATATATGTATATGTATATAGTAACATCAAAACTTCTTTATATTTTAGCCGATTGTAAAAATGTTCAATCCAAACCAAAGACTAATATTTCGAAACCGAAGGTATCACCTAAACACTCTGCACCGATTCAAAAAGTAACTAACCGTTATAATGTACTCTTGGTTCAAGGATCGCGTGATCAAATAATAAGCATAAATTTGGATTACAAGAAGCCCAAATCGTTTGCCTGTGTACAGACACGAAAAGAATGGGAAGCAGCCAGTTTAAAAGAAGCAGAACATCTAAAATTTTTGATTGAATTTGACCTAACAGAAGTTGTGCCAGTTGAAGGCAAAATCTTTTTTAATCTTCCGTTAAACCAAATGAAAGAAGTATGCATTGATCGATTCAATACTCAAATTGCTCAATCAAAAAAAAATAAGTCATGCGCAAGGAATTTCGTTACATTAACCATGAAGTTACACAATACATTATGTTTCGATAGTGCCCATGTCTCTGACGCTATAAACTACTTGGAACAACTTCTTAAATTGAAATATTCGAGAGTCATTATTTTAGGTCAACCCTTATGCGTTGACATTATAAGACAGGCGCGCCGTTATGTGGGACATCCCATAAGGTGGAAATTTAATGATGAGGAAATAAAACAATTTCAAAAAATGGCTATAATTGTTCGCAGATATTGTGAAGATATATATAGCATGTTTGCAACTATTTTTGGGGTTCCCAATCCTTTAGAGTTTTGGGCGATTTATATACAGCAATTGGAACGTTTTAAAATCGCTACTAAATGCATAGGAAATTGCAATAGTGAAAACCTTAATGATGATACCTACGCGAAATTGTTAGAAATCCTTAGAGAACAGGACCAGTGCGGGAGAATATAAGAACCAAAATGGAGAGAAAAAAAGAAGGATGTTAAGCAGTTGGAAGGATATAAAGACAAAAATTTAAAAAAATATCTAAAAAAAATTAATAGAAAAATATTACTAGACGGGTTAAAAAGAGGCGGTGTTGCGATCAGAAAATAAACGAATAATAAAAAAGATTATTTAAATTATAAATAATATTAACATTATTTTATATTGTCGGACATCATTGATAAAATAATTCAATTTGTAATTATAAAGTATTAACTAAAATTAATAATTAATAATTAATGAATAATAATTATTGTATGCATTGGGCTTATTATATTGGGCAATATTGTATATTACCCATAAACATTATTAAAAAATGCTTAAATTATTTCACTTTAATTTTTATTTCATTTTCAATATTTCGACTTTAATCGGAAATCGAAAGTTTCAGAAAACTTGAGATTGAAGTCGAAATATGAAGAATAAAATAAAAATCAGTGTGAAATAATTTAAGTTTTTGCTAATTTTTGTTTGAATAAATAGTTGAAAATAATTAACCAATTAGTCCAGTACCACACAATGTAAATAATAATTTTGATCATAAACTAATATTAATATTAATTATTTGGAATATTTTATTTTACTTGATATTGACAAACGTTTCTCACATATAATTATAAAGATTTTTAAAAATACACACTACTTTCATTCTTTTAAAAATATAAAAATAAACATTGTTAAAAAATCACAAAAAAATTATTAAATAAAATAAAAACCACAATTCTCTGATTTGTTTTTATGTGAATTATACGATTAGTTAGCTACTTAGCTACTTAGCTCGTAGTTAGTTGCTTAGCTTCTTATTGAATATTTTAACTTTAGTCAGGTAATCAATCACTAGGTTATAAACAATTGGTGCGATACTTTTCATAGGAAATTCTAAAGACCTTCACTTCTTGTCTTCAAAAATCTTTTAGGAATAATATTTTTTCTACGATAATATAAAAATACCATATTGTCCTATATTTGGACATGTTTATATTGCATTAAATAGATGATACTAACTGAGCTTCTTATTGAATATTTTAACTTTAGTCAGGTAATCAATCACTAGGTTATAAACAATTGGTGCGATACTTTTCATAGGAAATTCTAAAGACCTTCACTTCTTGTCTTCAAAAATCTTTTAGGAATAATATTTTTTCTACGATAATATAAAAATACCATATTGTCCTATATTTGGACATGTTTATATTGCATTAAATAGATGATACTAACTGAGCTTCTTATTGAATATTTTAACTTTAGTCAGGTAATCAATCACTAGGTTATAAACAATTGGTGCGATACTTTTCATAGGAAATTCTAAAGACCTTCACTTCTTGTCTTCAAAAATCTTTTAGGAATAATATTTTTTCTACGATAATATAAAAATACCATATTGTCCTATATTTGGACATGTTTATATTGCATTAAATAGATGATACTAACTGAGCTTCTTATTGAATATTTTAACTTTAGTCAGGTAATCAATCACTAGGTTATAAACAATTGGTGTAATCCATTTCATAGGAAATTCTAAAGACCTTCACTTGTCTTCAAAAATCTTTTAGGAATAAAATTTTTTCTGCGATATTATCAAAAAAATATCAAATTGTCCTATATTTGGAAATATTTATATTGCATTAAATAGATGACACTAACTGAGTAATTAAAATCACAAGTTAATGAAATGATTTCAACTCCAAAGTAAAAAGCAATTCAAATTTTGTAGTACTTAATTTTAACCTTTATATATATATATAAACGATTTCCTGTATAGAGTAACATTAAGTATATATATAATCATTTAGTAATATAAAAAATTAGTTAATTCTCAATAGTGTAGTAATTAAATAATTCTTTATTGTTTTTAAATCATTTTCATTATTACTATTTTTCATATCTGGATTTTTTATTTATCATAAAACACTCAGCAGTTTATCTACAAATGTCGGTTGTAGATCAGTTAATATAAGTTTATAATTATTTTTGATACATATATATTGTCTAATAGCGAGTTTATTCAGACATTATTAAGCAACTGAACGACGAGTTCAATTGCACACTATCCTGCAAGACTAATTGTCGTATATCGCACAAACTTGCATATTTAAAAATGTAGGTGTTTTTGGAAAACCTACCTGGCCCTACCTATCTGGTGGTTTCAATGTGAAGGATTTGTTACTTGTTTTGTTAATTGCTGATCATAAAATTTATTACATACTCATCTGCACTATCGAACCACAAAATTTCAAATAAAACCTTTTTTATATTAAAGTATTTATCTGTAGTAAATAAAGATTCGAAAAAATTCATGGAAAAATTATCTAATCCATCATGAATTATAGCGTAGCCGGTCATAAATTGCAGTGTAGCCGGTAAATTTTAGGTTGAGTACAGTTTATACTAGAAATAATAGAATTCGGTATTGAAATGTTATGTATGGAAAGGTTTAAAGTTATTTTCCGCGAACTGAAATTCCTCAACTAATATTCATAAAAATAGTTTTCAAAATGAAAAACGATAGTTTTCCTCGTAATGTTTATATTGTGCATACCTTACTGTGATCTTTTAAAGCATGACAACAATATGACGGCAATAAACTTCATAAAGGAAATGATTTGAATATTTACACTTAACTGACATTTTATAGATAATTATTTTTTTTTTTAACATTACACAAACCATTTTTAACGTCCAATATGTTTGTATCCAAGTGTGTGAGGCTTCAGTGCCTTTTCAGTAAAAGCCAAAAAATTGAAATGGACTTCAAGAGTTTCTGGTATGACAAACAAATGATCTTAATCACTGTTGCTGGTGAAGCTAATTGAATAAAGCTGGGTGGACCTCATTACATTTAAGTGCTAAGGAAATTTATTCGCAAGTAGTTTCCTGTTCAATTCTAGATTATCGAAGTCAAGTACAGTTCACCCACTCGTTTAATCAAATCAAATGAAAATTATAACATAACTAATATAAAAAAAATTCAAAAATAATCAATTTTTTTAAAACGATACATTTCAAGTAGTCAAGAAAATCGTGTACCTTTTTTAAGAAAATAAGAGGTCTCCAGTGTCTTCCATTCACTAAGTAAAATTTTTGTAAGAAATTTAGAATTCGTGGCGTTGCAAATAGATTTCCTGATTTGCAATCTGAATTCGAGTATCACATGATTAAAAATAAGAAAATTATGAACGCTTAACTATCGGTAATTTTTACTTTCTAACAAGTGTTGACTAACGCCGTTACTTTGTGCTGCAACTGACCTGCGTAATTAGGCACAACGCAACGCACAATCAATTAAAATGAAAAAAATCAATGAGAAATTTCTACCTGTCGTAAACCTTTTAAATGGAATCGCTTTTATTCTGCGCAAATATTAAAAAAAGGGTTAAATGGAAAATTGTGCACCATTTCGACCTACAACACTACATTCTACTATAAAAGTCGTTGAACAATACGATCGCCAATTAGATACACAGAAGCATTTGACAAGTGCACATGGCTGTTTTTTTAGATCAAATATAAGACAAACACAATTAACATAGAAAGTAAATAATGAATAAAGAAAATATTAACTTCAAAATTGGAGATCTTGTGTTTGCAAAGGTTAGAGGATACCCACCATGGCCAGCACGTATAGTGGGCTCTAGTAATAACCAGTATGACGTGTGTTTCTTTGGTACCGGCGAAACAGGGAAAATAAGTGTACACAACCTCTTCCATTATGCAGAGCATAAGGAAGAATTTGTAACAGAAAGTAAATTAAAAAGAAAATCCTATCGAGCGGCAGTGGATGAAAGTGAATCCTTTACGAAACCACTTGCTGAAATCAAGAAAGAACACGTCATGTTATTCAACATAATACCAGAACATATATATGATGAAATGGAATTAAATGATGAGCAACCTCAGCAATGCGAATGCGATATTAAGTTAGAACATCAGAAAGTGGCGGAAGTTTCACAAAGTAACGAAGGTAAGTATATTTGCTGTTATTGCAAATTTCTCCATCACATTAGAGTGTCTGTATTTATGAAGTCAAACTTTTCTTTGCAGAGTTTCCTATATCAGCAGTGCTAGTTTCCAGACTGTTAAATTATAAAATTCGTTCCGATGCATATGATCGCTTGAAATCCAAAATTGAAACCTTTTTAGCCACAATGACTGATGACAACGTTCCAATACTTCAAGACCTAATATTTACCAGCGAATGTCATAAAATCAAAATATGCTTGGGTCTCAAAACACACGTATTGCACATTGATGGAGCATTGGAGGTATTCAAGGACTTCAAAAGGTTCGAATTCACTTCTGCAATCTTGTTACGATGTCCGGAAGGTGTGGATGTCATAAGGAAGGTCCGGAAATTTGTTGGCAATTCCGTAGAGTGGAAATTACATGGCTTGGACAAGGCAATACTTACAGCAAAGTCGAAAATACTTCGAGAGGAAGCCAGAGCGTTGTATAACAAATTCAAAATGCTTTTCAAATTCAATGAGCCGAAACCATTTTGGAAAGAGTTCCTAAAATATGTCAAGGTCCTAGAAAAAACAACAAACGAGTTAAACATAGAACAGTATATGTTGCTTACTGAGGACGTTTGTGTACGTCATTGCCGCAGTGCACAAAAAAATTAGAAGAATTCAAATTCCCACAACAAAATGCAATAACAGACAACAGGGAAGGTGTTCACCAGTTCAATAATTTTTTAATTAATTTATTTGAATTAATTAAATTTCAATTTAATTTATATTGTTTTTTTTAATTTTTAAAGTTGTTACGTTGAATGTATATTTAGTTAAACAAAAGAGAATTTGACATCCTAATCGAGTTAAAATATTGTCATGCAAACATGGTTTTTAATTAGATTTTGTGATTTGATATGTAAGAAGCATTAATTAACAAAATAGTTATTAAAAACATTGTTAAAAAAGTTGAAATAAGCAATAAATTAAAGCTGGCATTTTTTGCATTTAATCTTATCTAATTAAGTCAAATTTTCGTTGAATTTTTTGACAGTTGGTTTCGGATTGTTTCGGATCTTCCTCTTCCTTACTTATTTTTATGGTTTTAATTGGAATAGATATCCTACCTGGTATGATACTATGATTATGTTAGTGTAACATACTGTCATTGCATGTCTACTGAAGCTGTGACTTGTCATTATAACTGAAGCTGTGACTTGTCTTCAAATCCATTACTAACGATGACAATTTCGGACAAGCCGTTTTTATATATGCGTTTTTAGAATATTTAAATATTAACAAAATTAAGATGGAATTAATTCATTTTAAAAAATTTAGTTCGGCAAAAAAATATTAAAATTATAAACTATTTTTGTGTATGTTCAATAATATGGTTCTATTGCAAGCAGATTATTGTTTGTAGATTTTCAAACAATAAGTATGAAACAATGTTTCTTACTTTCTTTATTGACGTCATTAACTATTGAAGGTTAATATTTTTGGTCAATAATTTCAGAGTAGTATTTATCATTTATATAAAATGATTTGTTTAAAATCATCATATTTTAGATGATTTTAGTCGTCATTTAAGGACTTAGACTTAGATTTTTATAATTTTAAGGATTTCCAAAAAGAACAAATTGCTTCTTCATTTTAAAATTATGAATACTTCAATATCATTTTAAAAATAGTTTTTTAATATTTATTATAAAGTAATTTGTGTTTATATTTTAAATAGAAAATATATAAACAGAGGTGAGAATTTCCCGTGAAATGATTTACCGTTGAAAATTCGAAAAATTTACAAGAACTTTTATTTACCATATAGGTTCACAAAACGAATGGTCGGTTCAATTTAATTAATAATAGTTATAATCATAAGTCGCAGTCCAGAAATTGTTTGTTCTTCCTCTTGAAGGCTGTAAAACTATTTTTTCATTTAAGGGTGATCTTGTCTTATTATTTTTGATGGGCTTCTTGCTACAAGAACTTTTATTTACCATATATGTAGGTTAACAAATCGAATGGTCGGTTCAATTTAATTAATAACAGTTATAATCATAAGTCTCAAGATGCATAGGCAGCCTAGAAATTGTTTATTCTTCTTCTAGAAGACTATAAAACTATTTTTTCATTTAAGGATTATCTTGTCGTGGTTATTTTTGATGGATGTCTTGCTTGTTATATTTTAGAGAGTTGAGTCTTCTAGCTTATATTCAGTGCACTCAAATTTACGTTTATGTATTTCTACGTGATTTCCTAAGATTTGTTTTACACCTCAGTTCTTGATTTGTAGCTTTGTCCGGGAAAAATATACGTAACATCTTATATAAACAGCAATTAAAATATTCCTTTCGTTTTGGAATTTTTTGTAACGATGACTACGTTCCGATATTACACAATAGAAGGGAGAGTGCCTTAGGAAATACCTTAAAAATTCTATTTTGTATAATGTAAGGCAGGGCTGTCCAGGTCAGATGTGATCGCGGGCAAAGACAAATCTCTGTACAGTAACATTATAAATACTGTTATAATGTTAAATTTAGTTTTCTTAGTTTATTTACTTGGTATACCGTAAAAATAAAAGAATGTGGTTTTACCAATATACCAAAAGAAAATTTGCGTAATTATAGTAGATTAAAAACATGTCACGGGCCGCACAAACATTAGTCGCGGACCACATTTGGCCCGCGGGGCATAATTTCGATAGCTAGAATAGTATAATGTAGTTAGATAGATAGTAAGGCATTTTGACTATGTCTATGCATATACCTAAGAAGTAATTAATCTAACTTACTTTCAGTTTCGTCGAAGTAATAGAATGTATGTAAGAGAGTTGATTACTTCTATTCATTCAAACTAAGTAGGCTTGAATTTACAATAAATATATGAAAATAGTTAAGTAGTTTGTTTATATTTTTTACAAATCGTTTGACATTTTTTTTTATTATATGTTAATATATAATGAAATTATTGATTCACCAACTCTGGTCACATAGAAGCATAACTGGCAGTCAAATTACTGTATCTTAAATTTCATGAAAATTTCATAATCTTTTTTCTGTAAGTTTTGCAACAATATAATAATTATTATCGAAGAGATTGAAACGAATGTTATTTCTATTTCAGAGTGACATAATTTTAAAATTTGTTTTACTATCAACTGATTGTAAGTTCAATAAATCAATTTTTTTAAGTACTTCATACTAGTGCTGTTCACATTATTCGAAGTTTTTAAAAATTCGAAGTTCTTCGAATATTCGAATATTCGCATTTCAACGAAGTCTTCGAAGTTGGAAAAAACTTCGAAGTTTTTGTGAATTTTTGTTCTCGAAGTCTTCGAAGTTTAAATGTAGTGAAAAACTTCGAAGACTTCGAAGACTTCGTAAGCAAAAGGTGAAGTGAGAGCGCACAATGCAAACAAACGTGCATCACACAAATTATTTGAGGGATGAAAGCGTTTGCTTTGTTTGTACGTTTTTGTTTTTTTTTTTTGGTATTCTATGCAGAAAATTAAAAAACATGTTTTTTTGTTTTATTTTATTACATAAAATTTATTTTATTATAAATATGTATTATAATATATATTATTATTAAATATGTTATTATTAAATATTATTTATATTAAATAAAAAAATATAATATAATATAAAATATATTACGTAATTATATGAAAATATTGATATTGATGGATATTATTAGTAAAGGAAAATTATAAAGTTTTCATTTTCCTTTAAAAAAAAATCACAAATTAAAATCTTGAAATTAGTTATGGAAAAAATGAGTTTTGCCATTAATGCCTAATTATTTGACCTGTATGAGCTGTGATGATCACGCAGGCAAGCGCAAATTTATTTTTGCATTATAAAATTTTGAATGTTTTGTTGTAGTTACAGTTATTTTACTGTTTATGGAAAAATTTTAAATCCCTTATTCTAGGAAAAGAAATACATAATATTATAAGGAAGTATCTAAATAAAATGTAAATTAGTGTATAAGCAAAATTGTATAAAAGAAAATCCATCAAATTTTCATGTATTTTATATTATATTAAAAATTTTCATAAATATAATTTTTTAAATATAAATAATAAATATAAGTTATTTAAAATGTGAATTTTTTATTTAATATAAAAAATATTTAATAATAACATATTTAAAAATAATATATATTACAATACATATTTAATAATAAAATAATAAAATAAATTTTATGTAATAAAATAAAACAAAAAACATGTTTTTAATTTTCTGCATAGAATAACAACAAAAAACATAAAACCGTACAAACAAAGCAAACGCTTTCATCCCTCAAATAATTTGTGTGATGCACGTTTGTTTGCATTTTGCGCTCTCACTTCACCTTTTGCTTACGAAGTCTTCGAAGTCTTCGAAGTTTTTCACTACATTTAAACTTCGAAGACTTCGAGAACAAAAATTCACAAAAACTTCGAAGTTTTTTCCAACTTCGAAGACTTCGTTTACTATTCGAATATTCGAATTTCTTCGAATACTTCGTAAATTCGAATATGAACAGCACTACTTCATACCCTTATATATAAAATTTGTAAACCGTTATAAAAACTTCTCAAAAATTTCAGCTGTTTTCCACTACGTTTAATTGCTTGTCATTGAAATCTTAGTCGAACTTCACATTAAAATGGCGAAAAAAACAGAACCATTTCGCCCATTGAGCGACTCATTGTACGCTGCTATCATGGAAGTTGCTAGCACTTCGAAGGTTGTGACTGAAGAGGACTTGCAAAAAATCTTTCCTGATAAATGCGTCGATCTAAAAGCTTTTAGAAAAGATAGTTTAGCTGGTAGCATTGCAAATACTCAAGCAGTAAGTGAAAACAGTTATTCTAGTTCATCAGTGGTTAGTCCGGAGATAGTATCTGGAAAAGAGCTTTCTCATCTATCAGCATTTTTGGAGTTAGAAACGGATTTGATTAAGGAACGACATCAAGAGGAAGAAAAAAAACCGGTATCACGTTTAGTATTGTGTGAAACACAACCGATTGTTGAAGAACGCCAGTCTTCTGTAACAGATCTGACAGAGGTTTTGATTACTGAACCAGAAAACTCAGAACTAGCATACAGGAAACCAAAAATTAAAGATTCAATATTTACTCAGTCACTTAGTATTGAGTCAGAAATCAGTGAATCTGAAGAATCTCAATCAGAAGTATGTGCGGATGTAGAAGAGGATGAAGATGAAGATGAGGATGTAAATGAAGTCATTCAAGCCAGACCGTATATATGCCCTTCTTGTTTTAACACATCAATACGATTTGGAGAAGACTTGAGCATTTATAGAGATCAAATTAATAATACCTATTACAGAAGACTTCAGGAAATTAGAGAACATGGCAATAATGACATAGATGTAAGTTGAAACACTTCATTCAAGAAAGGTTTTTCCAAAATGATATGTATTTATACTATGATTGTGAACCCTAAAGTCACTGAAGTACACAACAGTTGCTTCATTAAGAGGCAAAATGTGCGACGCTTACTTGCAACTTAAGTACGTCACGTAATTTGAATCTATATTATGGTTTAGCCTTGATATTTATGTTAGAAGTTCTTATAAACGAATAGGTTCTTGATGCTTGTACAGAGTGGAGGTGGGGGTTTATCATCTCGAAAATTACTAATGTGATGTGCGCATGATAATTGGAAGTTTTTCTTTTTACATATCTTCTTCTTTCTTCTTTTTAGTGAATAAAACTTTGATTTAATTATCTTTAACACTATTCTATCGTAATTCACAGTTTGAGAGCACCGTTCGAATGTAATTTTTTGTATGATCTTGAAATTGCTCTGTGATTTCCTCTATTATATTATACATTGTTAAAATACGTTGTCCTTTCAATATGTTTTCGGGCTTTTTGAAATCATTTGTACCATTCATGAACTGATGATTCTGACAAAGCATCTTTGCCGAAGGCGTTTCTTAGTAATTGAAGATTCTCAGTACTTTTTGATCACACTTCATATGTTAAGGTAAGTTAGCAATATGATATGCCCATAAATTTATATTAATGGAGGTGCTCCCTTAAGCTGTTTCCTTAATATAGCTGTTCCACACAACATAATTTAGCTTATTTAAATTTATGGTTACTAAACTTCGGAATCAATTGATTCAAAATTGATTAATTCATGTACACTTTATATAAATTAATTAAATTTTGTTGTGTTAGATTACCATATAATAACGGTATTATTATGCAAATTTATTAAAAACTGAATTTATCCAACAGCTAAGGTTGAAAACTTATGAAGAATGGACTACAACTCTGCGTGATCTAAACAAGAAAATGGATGACAATAATCGGGAATTTGAAAGGGACTTAGTGGAATGCTTAAAAACAGCTGGAACAAGAACCAAAACGACCACTTTACCAACCGATAAATGCACCCAATATCGCAACGACTTGGAAAAGTTAATTAAAGTGATTAGAAATGCTTATGACCACGATGTCTGGTCTCTTAGCGGTGTGTGCTTTGAAACTATGGCCAGAAACAACATTCTGAGTGTATGTTTGAAATATATGAAATAATATTATTCAACAGATCTTAATTTGCTGTATTTCTGCAGGGTCTCACACGCAATGGTAGCGCATCATGTAGCTCTGATGACAAATCGGAAAAAAACAAATAAGTCAAATTATTAGTCTAAATCCTTAAATTCATTCATTTAGTTATAAACATACTTCTATCTTATTTATATTTTTTTGAAGCAAAGATTTTATATGCAATTGTTATTTATTCAACACAAAAAAATGTTTCATTTTAATAAATTTTTTTTCACCAAAGCGTTATGAAAGAAATTTGATATTTGTTATATCAAATGGCAAATGGATCCATATATATAACTAGTCAGTCAACAATGTAAGTCTTTGCACAGTTAAAAATAACTGAAGAGCTCGGGTTAAGCGGCTAGCCAATAGCCATTAGTACACGCAAATCTTCAGGTGTAACAATGACAACAATCCTATAAAGCACCATCTAGAGCACAATTTCCCTCACCTGATCGACACTTCATTTATTTGTATACACTAATCATATTCTTGAAGAGGTTTAGCCTGCCAGTAACATCCCTTAACATCCCGTATTTGACAGTTTCTGTTTCCGGTTTCGGATCTACATTTATATTTTTGTTATTTGAAACGGAAATCTCTGGAGAAGCTTCAGTTTTTCGTTTTTTAGTCGATACTTTTTATTTCAATATCCAGTCAGTTTCTAGCGTAAATTTCTTGCCATCAGCGCGGTACTGAACAGTGTGGTGCTAGCTAATTTTTCACCAGCGGCATTATTATCAGCGTCTTTTTTATCAGTGATAATGATAAAAATGATTTTTTCTGCTTTCAGTTTTTGATTTTCTTCCTTAAGCCTTCCACAACTGATTTCTAAAATATTTATTTTTTCTGTTAAAAATTTAACATTACGTTTAAGCTTATTTAGCTTGCTAGACTGAGTCTGGTTCAAATGCCTTTCATGGAGGCATTTGGATGGAGGGTATAGAATATATATTATGTCAACTTGCATATTTTTAGTCTGAGTTATTTGCTGATCATAGTGCAAAACTTAAAGGGTGGTTTGTGTCCATGCTAATTTTCGAAGAAATAAGTTCCTTATAAGTAAAATAATCAAAATTAATAAGTATATAAATAATATAATTAAATATGTTTATAATTTATCCGAAAGCCAACAATTTGTAAAAAATTAGAAATTAACAAATTTTAATGAAAATAATTTGGTCACAAAATTCTTAATTAACATAGGCCGTGTGCGAGTTCGAGTAAATTGTTGGTAAAATGAGGGAAAAAGTAAATTATGTCGATATCGCAGCATATGCTGGTATTAACCAGAATTTCAAGTAGAGTATATTGGATAAAAATTAGATAAATTAATAAGGTTTAATAAATAAATAAATAAATTTGAAAGCTTTTAACCAAAAATAATAAATAAGTGCAATTAATAAAAAAATAAATATTTACATAAGTGCAGTGCAAAAAGTCCCTATGAAATTTCAATTTACTTTACCTCAATTTTCTCGAACTCGGACACGGCCTTAAAATAAATTTATAATGTGGTGTGGTGATGGTGATGGTATTGCTAATATTCTCCAATGGAACTTATTAACTGATGAACTTATAATTAAGCTTTTTTCACCTTTTTAGGTTTTATTTATTGGGGATGGTTTTTGATTTGATTATTGCTTAATGAAACAAAATAAAGTGCATAATAAAAATAAAACATTTCAACTTCTAGACAAAAGTATATGGCAGCTTGACGAAAGCAAGATTGGCAGTGCAAAACACTACCATAAAAAGCTGTAGTTTCTGGGAAATGTTCGTTTATTACAAAATTTGTAGGTCGAGGACACGTCTTATTTAAAACCCTATTGAGTTTTATGAAACCTTAATATTAGCATCATATATGAATCGCTAGAGTACGTTATTATGTATGAAATAATTAAATATTTAAGGAGAAAATTTGTACTTAAGACATTAACACTCCAGATAAGCGAACGACATAAAGTCTTTAGTCATCTAACTATCATCGAGCAGTTTTAAGAGAAAACCCAGGTTGCATTAGTTGGGGACTTTAATTAGTTTAACTATACTTCTATTACTAGCTCATGTGTTTAGTTTTGAATCTCCTCCGTGGATATGTGTACTATTGAATCTTCTTTACTTTATAATCTGAGCTCATGTATTCCTGTGATATTTGCTAGTTCATCCAAACATACTGAATGCTTTTCAATCTTTTTATTGGATATTAAATGATTATAATGATACACGATTAGTCATCGCTTCTAATTTGACAGGCACGAGTTCTAAGCCTGGCACTTGCAGTCCAAACAAATTATATACGGACTATAAACTAATTAAATAAAATTCGATTATTCCCAAAGACCACTGATGAAGAGTACTTGGCAATACTCGAAACAGCGTTGTATGGTCAGACAAATTTCAATAAAATTAAAAATAAAAAATTTTTGTCTTTGTCCTTTCTTTGCTATTCGAATCCGCCTTCTAAATTTTCATTTGTTAAAAGTATTACTAGATGTCTATGATAGTTGTAATATCAATGGCATAAATAAAACAAAAAAAAAAAAAAGGGGAAGATCAATATCCCCTCTTTAGGTATGAACCCATTTACCTCACTTTATATTTATATTTATTTATAACATTTGTATAGTGGTATACTAATGTTAGTAATAGTATTGTTATTACTCTGGTGACGCCATAGTGCATATCTATTTAATATCTAGTATTTTAAAAAATATAATTAATATTAGCATTACAAATAAACCAATAATAAACCAGTCATTTTAATAAACCAACAATTTTAACTTCAACTTCTTTTAAATTTTATTTTCGCTGTTTTTTTTGTATCTCTTCCGAGTAACGGAGTAACGCTACACTCCGTGATACATACAGAAAAGTAAATTTTTACTCTTCTCCGCGATGCATAAGCCTTGCAAAGAGTAATGCAAAGAGTAATTTGTTACGCTTTTAAGCGAATCGCGGATGAGCGGACAAGTTCTCACAACGAAAGCATCGTCTGCGACTCTCAGACGCGCTCTTCCGCGACTAAATTGCTTAGCATTATAATTCGCGGAAGACTCTTTAGCGATTGAAAATGTTAGCTGGGTGGTGCCGTCGCACAATAGTATTAATATTATTATTACTACTACCAATATTCGTATCATGATTATTAGTGTTGTAATTTCTTATTAATACTATTATCAGTATTACAAAAAAGAGCAACAAGATTTTCTTACAATTATCAATATGATTATTATTATATTATTATCACACCTTTTCGATGTCATTGGTGCAATTATCAATTTGCTGATGACAAGAAAAGCAATAGGATTTCCTTACAACTGTTATAACAAGTATTATAATAATAATTATATGTGTGGACACGACATGACGATGTTTTGCATGATGTTGACACTGATTTCTCCCCTCTGATGAGTCTGGGTAGTTCTCAGACAAAACGCGTAAATAAAATGTATTACATGACCTGTCGGATTTTTAACCATTATAATAGAGGACCCTCCTCATTATACCGACAACTGGGACGCCTAATACAATAACAATTAGACTATAAGTGCCATTGTAATTTAATTTATATTTACTTCAATTTAACTTACAATAATTAAATTTAACTTACTTCTATTTAAATTAATTTAGTTTAAATAATTTAATGTAATCCATATAATTTACGTTATGGTTTATAATTTAATGATACAGTGTAATACTATATACATATATATAAAACAACACCTAGTCTCTTTGTCATCTCACTTTATTGTTATACTTTATTACTTTGGAACAGATTATCATATGGGGGCTTAACCCATCAATAGTAAGTGGAAGGGTTGAGTATGTAATAAGTTTACCGGTGATCATAAGACGCTGTGACCAGTTGATGCTATTTAGCAATATACTGAAGGCTTGGGTGGGCAACCATTGTTTGGGTGTGTGAGCAAGATAATGAAATTCATGTTTGCTTCTTTCTTATTTCAAGTATATTTTTTCGGTGCATTGCACGACATTTATGGTAGTCACACAAATATTGCTTTCTTTCTATTATCAATAATTTTACACATAATTATGTATAATGTGTTATAATTTTACACAATACCGAAATTTTTCTTTCCTTTTATAGCTTTTTTGACATATAGCTTTGAAAAGTTCTAAAAGCTGCATAAATGAGTTCATTATAATGTGAACACTTCCTAATTTTTATAAATGAGCAACTGCCTAAATGAGTCAGTGCGAACATAGTATTACATTTTTCGTACTATATTTCCTTATAATTTATTTGCACAATAGACTTTCATGAATTTCCCTTTTAATATCCCAATGCAATCATGTAAACATAAAAGGTGAAATTTTCTTTATACTTCATTTTATTTTCAGAGCTGCTATTACTTTTGCCACATATGGTACTTTAGTACCAAAATTGGTACATTCTTTTTTGTATGGTACTCTAGTACTAGTTTTTAGAAGTGCGAACTTAAATGATACTATTATGTTATCCAATTAAATTTATTTATAGATGCAACTGGGCACTATTAAACTAATATAGTTTTACGTATTGATTCAGGAAAAATATTGGGGCTGCAAAAGGTAGAAGAAAATTTCGATCGGAATGAATTTTAAGATTATATATAATATTATGTTATGCAAATAATTATTTAATAAAAAAGATATGCACTATATATGGTCAGTAAAATATAGTCGGATTATTTAAGTAATAAAATTGTTAAGAATAAAAAGACTTGTACTGTTCTATATTTTCTGTACAATTTATGTTTATTGCATTTTCTTATAAAAAGATAAATAAAATTGAACTTTTTTTTGCAGATATGGTACCTTTTTGAACTAATTTTGGTGCAGAAAGAAATTTTCAAGTGGCAACCGTGGCTGATATCATTTACAAGCCATACGTTCGAGAGTGCGGACGCGAGAGTAGGCGATTCGTTAAAATCCGATTCGTTAAAGAAATAATTTTATATTTGTTTATAGTTGAAACTATATAAACAAATTGGTTTGATCATGGTAATAAGTGGTAGAAAGTTTTTGTGTTAATATAAATTAGAACAGTTATTGTAAATCGTGTTCGTGTCCGCAAAACCAAAGAATTCAGAATTCTTATGAAAACCAACAAATATTGAAGTTGGCGATAATTAAATAATTTAAATGGTGGTTTTGTAAATAGACAATATATGGGAATAAATATTTATTATAAGTTTACGCGGGATCGGAAAATATATTTTTTTTCACAATAATTGTTAGTCCATCGTTTGTGCTATACGTTAACAATGTTTAATTATATTTACGGCTGGAGGAAAAGCTGCAAAATATTCAGACAAGGCTAAGGCTGAGGCTGAGGCTAAGGCTAAAGCTTTATCTCTTTCTCAAAATTTTTTGGCGCCAACTTTTAGCCAATACGCTATAAAGACGCATACCCCGCTATCTGAAAAATCAACAAATTTTACGTGGATGCGTTGGTCCTACTATCTAACCGCCGAAGTAAGTCCCAATATACAAATCACATTTCATTAAATGTTAGAAATTCTTGTAAGATTGTGACGATAAGGTGTTGCCCGCCAAAAATTATAATGTTCCCATCCCATCCCCCTTAATTTTGTATTATTCTCCAGGTATGTTTCAGACAATTCCAGTGTAACGTTTTTATTTGTAGCGTCATTCGCACAATAGGTCTGTTCCATGAGCTACTGCTAGTAAAACTCAAGTAAAACACAAGTAAAATTCACACGAAAATTTCCTGGTGGAACGCACTTTTGTACTCAAAGTTACTATCAGTAGCTCGTGGAACAGACCTAATGTGTTTTCTTGCTTAGAAAAAATATTTTTTCCTGTATTTCATATACCGCTTGGTAATCTGAGCTATAACAAATGTGGTTTTTATTCAATAATTTTTTTTCGTTGATTTGCACCACGTTAAATGAAGAATTGATATATTTGTATATATATATATATATATATATATTAGACATCCATTCTTTATTTTTAATTTACTCTGACGTTATATAAGTAGTATCATTCCTCTACATATCTTGCATTTCATTTTGTTTTATATTTTAGTTTCTCCGTCATAATTTTGACTTTAAGTTTCTATCAAAAATAAAAATTGTGTATTATATATATATTGATTATAAAATTTTAATATTATTAGTAATTTGTTTTATAATTATAAAATTTTATCTCTAATTAAAAAATTTAAACCAGTAGAATTGTTATAAATTATTCGTTAAATAATTATTTTTAAAATAGGTATATAAATGTGTAATTAACTATGTGTGCAATAGTTTGTTTATATTAAATATACTTGCTTTCAATTTCGTATACAGTACCTGACGAATATATACTTGAGCAGACTTCTCTTAAATAAAATTTTTGGGGGCGCTTATCGATAAAATGCACCCCATTTTTATCATCAATTTTATGATACATTTGATGCACATTTTTCCAATACACTAAATGTCGATATATGTGGATAAGTAAATCTGGATATCGAAGTTTAAAGCTGGAAATTATTAAATAATAAACGAACAACTACTCAATGTTAGAAGTGTTTGTGTTAGTAATAAAAAAATCACATATACCAGTGGGCGTTGGATGATGTGTATTGTTTCTGTAATCAATATATATACATTATATATACATATATATATATATATATATATATACATGTACATTTCCAGATTGTAACATAGATAATTTGAGAAAAAAAACTGTAATTCATATACCATAGTGAAAACATAATCTCAGAATAAGCGACTATATAAGTCTAAAGTTAAATAGGGGGCCTAGTAAGGGCCTAAAAATGGAAATATTGCTTAGATTCACTGTTTTATTTCAATATGTTGGTTTTGTTGCTGGGATTGATTTCTATAAATATTTTAGGATTAATTAATTAAAACTTATTAATTATTTAAGTTATAATTGATATAGAATTATTTTATTTTAGGTGCTTGAGTTGACTGGTGATGCTGCCAAGGAATTAAAGGTTAAACGTATTAAATCTCGTCATTTGCAATTGGCAATTCGTGGAGATGAAGAACTTGATAGTCTTAGTAAAGCTGTAATTTCTGTTGGAGGTGTTATACCAAATATTCATAAATCGTTGCTTGGAAAGGAGGTAAATTCAACCTAATAAATTGCTTGAGAATTTCAATAGATTTTGAACTATTTATGATTTGTGATTAACAGGAGGAGAACGTTGCCACGTTGTCACAATCCTATTCCTTCTAAACTAAATATCATCTATCATTATAACAATGAAAATCAGCATCAAAGTTTGTATATTCCAAACAGTACTTTTAAGCGATAACTTACAAAACAGCTGATTATAATTTAATAATTTTTGTGTTTGTTATGTAAATTTTTTTTAATACGTTTAACAAAAAAAATCTTTATATTTTTATTAACATATAAATGAATTGCTAATGTATAAATAACATAATATAAATAAATAATAGTATGTTTTTTAAATATGTTTTTATTTTTACTACATATATTGAGTAATATTTATTTTATATTTTGAGTGACATTTTATTTATTATTTTTTTTTTTACCTAGTAACACACGAGGAAAGTTGCAATGCAAGCTCTCTCAATACACATGAAAGAAAAATTCAAACCAAAAAATTTCACTGGACACCTACAAATTCTTACCAGGTTGGAAAGTGTTACATATATGACCCAGACAATTGACAACACAGACCCAGTACACAATTTCACCAAGAGATATAGGATCATCTTCCCATCAAGTGAAGACTGGACTGCCAACCCAACATGGTTACATGACGATTCGCAAAAATGGTGTACATATGGATCCAAAACGCTTCAAGGTGTTAGAGCGGGAACAGTGGGACCCAGAGCACACAAATCAATTACAATAAGCACAGACTCCACAATTTTCCATACGGAACTCATTGCTGTAATAGAGGCTATGGAGATCTTATCTAAAAGAGGACTTAAGAGAGTAAAAATTAATATAGTCTCAGACAGCTAATCAGTTCTGAAAGCTCTAAAAAGCTACACATTCACATCAAAAGTTCTTATAGAGTGTGTTATGTAGGCCTGTGAGGAGGAAGACATTAATATTAAGGACAAATAATATAAGAGTATTGATATTACCTGGGTTGTCCCACGCTGTCCAAGAGCATCTTGTGAAGCGCCTGTTTTCATTGCTGCACCTGATCGCACCTGTGTTTTTTTTGTTGTTTATGTGTTTTTATAGATATTATTCACTGGTTTTATTCCACTTTTTTTTATTTTGATCACTGAAAGCAGAATCAATTAATAGCAATAGAAAAGCTTTCTGATGCTAACTTCGTTTGTTTTGATTTACAAGATCGAAGCGAAAGCTCCCTAGACATTCCGAACTTGCAAATTCTAGTGCTGCCAATAGAGCAAAACAAATAAAATTAGAAGTTTTTTTTTTGTTGTTCGGAATGCAGAAGAATCAAAACAAACGTTAGTAGCGACAAAAGGGGAAAGTTCTTTTTTAGTCCGCTAAGATTGGCAACTGAACAAAAAGTTTAAAGCAAGGCAGTTACTGATGTTACCGGAGATATAAAAGGCGGTGGAAGTCGGAAAGTAGGAGTTTTTTTGGTCTTTAGTTTTTGAACTGGAGGAGTGTTGATAAGAACTTAAAATCGCAACGAATTATAACACGAAGAAAAAGGAAAACAGAGAAATAATGTTTGGAGGAATCCTTTAGGAATAAAGTCAAAAAGTGTTTTCAAAACCTTGTGCAGAATAATTCGAATTGAGCCCAAACAGTTTATTTTGTCTGAAATAATTATTAACTGACGCCATAAGAAGGACATTGGGCGGTCGTTAAGTTATCTTGGGCTAGTAAGACATAGCAACAATACTCTTGAATTTATGTTTTCTGGTTATATATAAAGTGAAAAAGAAACTTTTATTTGTTACCAAAGTGTTCTAATGAAGAATTAATTGTACGCTCAAAGCTAAAAGTGAACTGCAGAATTTTTTTGTAAATTTTTGAAATGCGTCAAAAGAAACACTACCGGGATAAACAGAGCATCAAGTTGTATCCAAAAAGGAGATAAGTGAAAACTGGCATGCTGCAGCGATTGGCAACAGATCCTGTGTTTGTAAAAGTGAGCTGTTATTGGTAGGCGTTGAGTTGGCAGTTTTTCTTGACATACGCAACGGTGTTGGAGATATATATATGTATATAAATGAATAGCGGAAGACCAACGGGGCTCAAAAAGCTGTATTTTACCCGAAATATTACCCTAGACAAAATAACAGGTATTTTTTATGTTGAGTGATACGTTATTACGAAGGCATAACATTGTTAACGGTCATGGTGATCATCCTCCAGATTTTTTTTGGTGAACGACATACTAATGAAATACGGAATAATATATTAAAATTCCTTAATTTCTTTTATAAAGAGATTTTTCGAACTGTAGTGAACTACAACAACAAAAATTATATTTTTTTATATTATTTTAATTAATTGAATTTTTGGCTGACCATACAGCTGTTTCGAGTATTGCCAAATACGCATCATCAGTGGTCTTGGAAATAATTCTTGTATTTAATTATTTGTAAACATTTTGTTTGACTGCAAGTACAAAGAATCGAACTCAGGTCCTGCCAAATGTGAAGCTCAGTATCAGCGCTCCTTAATCAACTGATCCAAAGCCGTACTTGACTTTTTTGTTGGCATATTTTTCTGGAGTTTTGTTACTTTTGCTATGAACGTTTTTTATTAACAATTGTACTTGCTGTTTTTATATTAGAACGAAATCATAAACCAGCTGTAGAATAATTGAATTAAGTAATTAATTATTTGTTTTATTTTTAATTGTTAAATTTCTATTCTGTTCGTATTCTGTTCGTAATCTGTTCGTATTCTGAACTATTCGTAGAAGAATTATTTTTTGCATGATTTGTTCTTTTTTATGTAAAGAACCTAATCTAGGAACGTAATGCTGAGAAACTTTTTTTATTTTTTTAATCATATATTATATTTTTAATTATATTTAAAAGTTAATAATAACTAATAATTGTACACCTTTGAAGTTATGCTATAATTTTATCTGAGCGTTTGAATATAAATTTTTTTATATAATGAAAGAATTAAAAAGAAAAAAAATAGAATAATGTCTTAAAAATATATATAACAACCAAGTACTAATGATTATCGATTTTTTTTTTTGATATTTTTTTTTACATATATTTATTGATAAAGATTTATATAATATAAATTAATTTTTTTTTTTAATTATTTATTAATTAAAATTTATTAAGTTTTGTTTTATAAATGCACTTATGTTTAAAATTGTACTGCCATTAAATCTTGCACAATTCACGGGTTTTATTTAGTAAAGGATTCGTAAATTTCCGTACTGCGTGTCTTTGAGATAAAAATTTATTATTTACTTTATTTTGTCAAATACTCTTTCTTTGTTGTAAAACTCAAAATCAAGTTATAATCCATAAGAATCATGTATGGCAGCGACGGCAGCAGTAACAACGTTTGTTGTTTAAATATTTGATAGGCAACTACTATTGTAGTTGTTGTTGTTATAGTTATTGTAAAACACAATTAAATATTTTTAATTTCAATAATATGAAGTTTACTTTTATAATATAACTTCATTAATCTTAATTTTATATTGTAAAAAATTCAAATTCGCACTGACGGTAAATCTAATTTTTTGCTATGCAAAATTGTATGCTTTACCATACATGTGCTCACTTCACTCGTGTTTTTTCTACTACCAGTTCTTTCTTCAAACTAAAAGTAACTGGGCATAGTTTAACACCCTACATACTTGATGAGACTGGCATCTCAACTTCGTTAGATGTTAACTTATATAACTATATGAATTATACGAACTATGCCTAAAGTTTTTTGTCTTTTGAAAAGAAAAAAAAATTCTTATATTTTTCTTATTTTGTTTTTGTTTATAAACAAAATTTCAACTAGATCTGGCAGCAGCTAAAGTGACGTCATTGCAGCGACTGAAGTAATTACCTTATACTGGTTTACATTGTTTATTTTTTTATTATTTCTAATTATTATGCAACTTGTTTATTGATGAATTTTTTTAATAGTTTTTCTCTTCTAAGTATATTTAATCATACAAGTTTTTTTTTCTTCTCTTCTGTTATAAAGTTATTTATATTTAACTAAGAATTTTGAACAAAGAAGAAAATTATCTGTACATATACATATGCTATAATCACAAATTTTATTTTTATTTATACATTTACATATTTATAATTTAAAAATTGTTTTTTTTTTTTAAATTTTTATATACTTATTTTGTTTAAAGAAAAATAAAACAAAATTTGTAAACATAGCTATATGATTGTATTAGAATGATATATCGAATAAAGCTTAATCACATTGTTATTGAAATTAAATAAAAAATAATCCATATTTACTGATCAAATTAACAGAATGTCCGGCTAGGATTATAATATTCTCTAAAAGAATAAATGAATGTAGTCAATGGCAAGAGTGTTACGTCTTAGTCGGTTCCTATGAACTTAGTTAAAAATATAGAATTGAAGTAAGTCATGACATGATTTTTTTGTTGGTTGTCAGCAGTAGTACTTAGTAGCGAAGAACCACACCCCAAAACTGGTGAGCACACCGGGCTTGCCACTATGTCATGCAGGGCATCTAATACTACGATAGTAACATCAGGCTGACACTGCAAGTGTAACAATGCACTCAACCAACTGGCCACCCACAACCAGGTGTCTCTGGTTTGGGTACCCGGACATGAAGGACTCGAAGGCAACGAAAATGCGGACCCCTATGCCAAAACAGGGGCACAAGAAGCATCCAACTCCCTTTTTGACTTCAATAAAACGAACATAAAACAGGAGACCAAAAATGGATCCAACAAAGTACCAATGAGTACTGGAATGGAACATATGGCCAATATTATTCAAAAAAATTTTTAAATTTTGATGCCAAATTTGCAGATTCTGCTGTGATGAGGAAGAGTCTATGGAACATCTGATCACCAACTGTGATGGACTAGGTCACAGAAAAAACAAAATTTTAGGTGCATACCCACTAGAGGATGAAGATCTTCAAAAACTCCCTTCGAAAGAGCTGGTTCGATTCCTCGAGACACTAAATATGTAAATACAAAGAGGTGCACAATAGATCAAACTGGTCGCAGTGCATAGGGACAGTGACCGAAACTCCCAAACACCATTAGCATCACCATTACCAACATTTATTTTAAATAATAATTATTTTGTGTATAAAAAAAAAAGAATTAAATTAAAGAAAAATTTTTAAATATTTTTCTTTGTCTTCCCTTCCCTGT